ATTTTTATTTCTTGCTTTTGAAGTTCATATGTCATACTGTGTTGAAGCCTACAGAATGCATAATTCTTCTCATTTTACTGATGTCGCGACAGTACAAATTGCAACATTATGCGTTCCTTATGTGACGTCACTTTAGTGTCTACTGACTGACTGACAGATAACACACTACTGTATAATGGTGTGAGTGGCGAAAATAGGTGACCCTCCAGGCTGTCTTCAGCCTCTTTTCGGAGAAATAATTTTCGTTTTTTAGCAAATCTGCTAGACGGCGCTTTAAGTACAAACCGACTAAGAACGGATGTCAACATTAATATTTTAACAACATATTGACTGAGCTTAAAAAACTATAGTTTAAGATGTTTGAGTTACTGGACCCATGAAAATAAGCATTGTTAACAACGAAAATTATATATTTTATATTCGTATTATCATCCTTATTCTAATTGAAGAAAAATCATCGTCATTCAACCGACCCTAACAAGGTAACTATAAAACATCCAAGTTCATATGTAAGCCGAAGATGGTGTACGGATCAAAAGAGCGAAGGTTCGACACGTGATGTCACTGAACAAGCTCCGCACTTTCAGCTGTGGGCACTTTATAAAAAATAACAGTAAATTCCATTATTCAGTTCAGAAATCTGAACAAAGCCCAAACCCAAACAAGAAAAAAAAGGTTTCAAAAACTTTATAAGCACAAACCACAGACAGGCGATGATACCCATCTCAGAATATAAAATAATCCAACTCAACCAAATAAAACAAAACTGTAAAGGTTGGATGTTAAGACCCACTATGTTTCAGTTCTGGACTGCCTCTCACTTTCAAGTCCATGGTAGCCAATTAAATAAGAGCGGCCCAGAGAAACAGCATGAAAATATAATGCTTCATAGAATAAGTGGCATATATTCTTGAAAATATAATGCTCCATAGAATAAGTGGCATATATTCTTGAAAATGTAATGCTTCATAGAATAAGTGGCATATATTCTTAACCTAATATACATCTACTGTCTTATAATTCCAAATTATAATAACTAATTCAATAATTTTTAGCCAATATCTAGAGCAATTAGTATGTAGTTGTTAACTGTACTATTTCATGTCGGGCAATATTTAGAACACTTAATACCTAATCTTTAGCTACAAACTTCCACACGATCCTGACACTCAGACAACTTTCATAGAAAAATATTTGTATTATTTCAGTTACTTCACAATCAGTATTTCCAGGAATTTCAGTTCCATTTCTAAAATAGGCCCAAACGTTTTATCGAACAATTCAAATATCACTTTGTATGTTAGACTATTTTGTCTGTAATTTAACTTATTGAGTTTGTATAGTGTTTGAAGGTTGGTAACTATTAATGTGACTAAATGCTTGTATCCGGAACTGTTTTTTTTATTTAAATATAATTCTAACTACGTTTAAAAAAAAGTCAAATTCGTTTTTTAAGGTGCTCATACCAACTTGTTGATATGCTTTTGAAATTATTGATAAATAAGATTTGGAGAGACTGGCTGATAAGCTGTTTAAATTATTGTTTAGAATAAACTAGATAGGCAGTTTGAAAAATTGTTTAATGTGCTGTTCAGAATAAATTATATAGGCTGGTTTACTTACTTGTTTAGATTGAACTGGAGAAGTTGGTTTATAAGCATTTAACTTTCTTAGAATGAACTAGAGAGGCTGGTTGATAAACGTTTCATATTATTGCTTAGAATAAAGTAAAGAAAGACAAGTTGTTAAATCGTTTAGACTGAACTTAACAGGCTGGATAATATATATTTGAATTTGTTATTTAGAATGAACAAGAGGCTGGTTGATAAATTTTGAATTTGGTATTCAAGATCGTCTGCAAAATCTAGTTAATAAAATAATTAAACTGATGGGTATTTTCGTTATGCTGTCCAGCTTTTCAAATTCATATTGTTATTATTAGTTTCGTGAAATTATTTGTTATTATTCAATTGTAGATGGACTTGAGAGAATACATGACTGAGTTATTAAAAAAGAATCCTTCGCTTCGTGATTGTCCAGCTCCAGTTTTACCAATTACAAGAGATCAGTGTTCCCAAACTCAATGCAGAGATCATGAAGACTGTCAAGATCAAGGTTTTTTATGTTGTTTCAATGGGTGTGTATTCACCTGTCAACACAAGATACCACCCCCTCCTGGTAAAGTCGGATATATTTATCTAATTCTCTATTTTTGGTCTATGTCTTCTTACCTATCTATTTATTTCAATGTTAATAACCTAAATATTTATTTTAGTGTTAAAAATGAACAAAAATATCAGTATATGAATAGCTCATGTATACAGTATATAACTCAAAAGCGGCATTTTTGTAATTCCAAAACATGAGCAAATGAGGGTTGTTCGTTATAGTTATCCCCCAGTGGCATAGTAGTATGTTTGCGGACTTACAACGCTAGAAACCGGGTTTCGATACCCCTGGTGGGCAGAGCACAGATAGCTCATTGTGTAGCCTTGTGTTTAACTTCAAACAAACAAACGTTATAGTTAACCAAGGTTCAATATTTTAAGGGATATTTAAATCAACTTTCAGTTAAAATTAAATTACCCTCCATTTTTGTGTGCAACATGTATTTGGTTCGCTGGTGTACTAGAACCTAATCATGTATTTGGTTCGCTGGTGTACTAGAACCTAATCATCTTGGTCTCTTTTTTCCTATACTTTTCTGCAGACAGCGATTCATTCATTAGAACATCTCTAATTTTATTACTTCTAACCCCTTACTAACGCGTTGTACTTCAAGAAGTAAATTCAATTGAAAGTATCTTAGGACAATTCCAAACATTAGTAAAGTTTTATAGTGTTTTAAATATGAATGTGAACAAGTGTTTGTCTACGATGTCAAAACCAACATTGAGCAACTCTAAATGGAATCATCAGATAAAATAGCATGAGTATCACTCTTCCCGTCTCTTGACGCATAGTGGAAATGAGGAGAATGATAACTCTTATTTTGTGTGCATGCATCTGCTTTTAACACCTGATGAGTGTCCGTGATTTTGAAAGTTTCTATTGCACTAACGGTTTTGTTTTTGAAGTCTAGAGAGACGAATCGGTATTTTATTTAATATTTATTGTTAGAACATAAAACGTGTTTGGATTATTTACATCGTCATATATTTGGTCAAATCTTTATTTTCCTCTCTGTTCACTACTAACATTCTTTCTGCAGATTTGATTTTACCCGCGTTTCAATTATTCTATTACTAATTGTTTTCTTTTTGTTTTAGTTTGAAATATTATGAATATTTTTTTTATGTATATTGGAATAATAAATCTTTCTTGGTTACGAACGTTTCTTTTAAGTTTAGGTACAGCAAATCGGTTTAATTTTTCTATCGTTACTGAGATTTATTTCTTTTTACGTTTTCCTCTTGTTTAAGGTCGGCTAAAACTAGAACTATGGCGCTGCAGTGTTCGCGCGTAGTTGGGAAAAGGTTGTAACTAGATCAGTGTTTCTCAAAATGGTGGGTCGCGATCCCCAAGGAAGTCGCAAGCAGGTTTCCAGGGTAGTAACTAGCTGTCCGCGGTTAGTAAAAATGTTTTTTTTTTTTGAATCGTCGAGGTGTCTGAGAGGCAAACATATCACCTTTGTTATGAACTATGACGAACTGCGCTAAGAAACATAAACAAAAATTTCATATGGGGGTTGGGGGGGATTGCGACGACCAAATTCCGGACAAGGGAGTCATCTGGCAAATCCGGCTGATGAACACTGAACTAGATTATGCTGCTCATTGAATAATCGAGTTAAAACTAATTAAGCTTGCCGTGGTTGTAGGTCTATTCCTCTCATGTTATTTAGAGATAGATAAGAAACACGACTTAAAGGAAAATTCTAGATAAAAGCATCGACTGTTAACGACTTACGATTACTGTGAAATTACTTTTAAATGACCGAGATTGTTATCTGGCTTAACAGGACAAGGTTTACTTTCTGTAGCTACTTTCTCTTGGAAATTATATAAACCTGTCAATTGACCAAGTAGGAATGTAAATTAAATGAAAGATATACTTTTACAAACTATCACAGCCTTCGCTAATTAAATGCATGTAAATAAAGTTACGAAAATCACAACGCAATACACTGTTACCCTGAGATGGCACTACCCTGTAATTCTGTTTCTTGTGTATAGCAGACAAAAAATAAACTAACTAACCTTTTTTTTTCCATACATATTTTGTAGTTATTGATTGGCCAGAAGAACCACCAGGGATCTCTACTTTCCCTACTTACCCTGGTGAGTAGGTCTTTTTCAAATACCGATATAATTTTATGCATAATACATACAAAAGTTATCGAAGGCGTAGCTGGCAGTTTCATTTTAATTAAATAAAATTATAAAAATTGCCGTCATCTTTATTATTTTATATTCATAAAGATTTCAATAGTTTACGTGATAGTAGCATGTAATTAGTTGTATGTTATCTTGACGTTAGTACATTTTAATTACTAGAGATATATTTTGTCCATAGAGTTCAATCTTAGGATAAATGAGATCGTGGCATTTATTTTGTACAGGCTATTTGGAATTCCACTTTATACGATTTGTATAAGCATCTGTGAAATGTCATCGCAGAAGCAAACCGTTGTCCTAGAGGCAACATATTTAATACATATAATAAGCATATATTTGATTATCGGAATAGAAGTATTCATGCAACAAGACTGTTGAAAGACGTAGAGTCAAAACGCACAATATTGGGAAATTAATAAGCTTGCACAACAGAGCGTTTAGGATAGAAAAGGGGCTTTAAACCACTCCCCAAACCAATCAGAACCAATGAGCATTCGTAAAGCAAACAAATAGCTACGAAAAGAATCTTTCAACCTAAAAAAAAAGCCATTGTTGCTATATAAAAAATTTAGGATTTCAAATTGGTGAAACCTCACAAGCCAAACATCTCCAAGCTTTAAACCATACTTCGAAATCAACAGTTGTTTTTATGAGAATAAATGGCAAAAAACAAAACAAAACTGGAACCACAGCACTCCCATTCAATCGCCTTTCTGTCAAGATCGAAAGGACTTTTGTGCCTTTGACGAACTTCTCAGAGAGTGTGACCCACTTAACTATATTAATATGTATCACTGAACAAGCGTAATAGTTTTTCACCTACTTTGCTTGACTTTTGGTTTTATTTGAAGAGTATTTACTTGCTTAACCCTCTCGCAACGCGTGGATCAAAGTGCAATGCCACGACCTTTTATATTCAAAATTTAATTTAATTACTTTATAATCAATGCAAAACTTAGTTACTAAATCAAATTTTAATATACAAGTTTAAGTTCTTAATTTTATAAGAAAATATTCCAAAAATCCTCGATCTGCTGTAGTATGAGAATCGTGACATTTGTTCTCTAGGTATTCCCCCCTTTTCTAATTTATTTACCGCCCCTCTTTGAAGTAGAAAATTTAAGGTAAATTACTTAGTAGAATACAGATATTACTAAAGCAAGGTAGAACTTTTATTGTCTTCAATCTTACTTGTTTACATTGTCATAAACTAGAAAATCAGACCCACTTGTCACGCCTACCTGTCACATCTACTGTTTCACAAAATTACCAATAATTCTTTTTGAAGATTTATGCTATATCATTTGTAACTAGTAGAAAGACGAAGTTTTGATCTATGGAATGACGTATAATAGCACGTTGTTTTTAGTACAGAGTATTGTCAATCTCCTCTTCAATTTTAAAGTTTATCTCGGGGTATTCAGATAGACAGAAAGCCAGTTAGATTATAATAGCTGTAGGATATTGTTTACTTTGTGCATGCTATTATTTTGTGTTCTTAAACGTATTATTTAAGTAAATAATAATTATTTACTATACTAGTACTATCATTATAAAAAAAGTAGGCTTAAATTTCATCGGCAACCGACAGCAAAAAATACAAAAAAACAAGAAAAACAGATCAGATGTAAATATTATATTTCTTGTTTTTCATGTATATGTTTTTACTTAATGTTATAAAAGTAACTAAAATGTAAAGAGTTAGAAACATATCAGTGGGGTAAGGTTAGATTAGGTTAGATAATGAAAAATAATAATAACGATAACAAAGCTTCACGAGTTATGCTCGAGAGCAGCTCGTGCGATACTCATTCAATACTGTAACGTGAGCTACGGGTTCGGTGTGTGATTTAAAACTTGTATGGAGGGATTATTAGTTTGACACTGTTAAAAGGTCAATAAAATAATAAAATTAAGTATAACTAGATGATGACTGTTATGACCCTTAAGCTATTTAGAAAAAACAATTTTAGTTTTCTGTTACAATCTACAGTCATTCTAGAAAGACAAAGGGTAATTCAGATTTATTTCTTGTTTCTTTTTATGATGGTTACAAGGTCGCTCAAATCGACCTCCTCTGTATAGAGTAAGGGTAGAGAAAATAACAGGTAAAATATAAAGATTTACTGAAAAAAAAACGATTGCTATTTATTTAAAAGGTTTGAGAGGTTACACAAGTGAAATTTTAAATTTTCCAGATGAAAAAAAAAAGTATTTTTAACCTTAACATGAAAATCACTTTGCACTCTGAACAGTTAACACTCTGACTCCGTATATTCACGGACAAATCTTTAGTAAAAATCCCTGATTAAAAAAAATCTTATTTTTTCTGTACAAAAGACTTGAAATGTTTACTAAAAGCCTGCCAAATTTCGTAAAGATACACGTACCATATTAAAAGTTATAGTATGGAAACTCTGATGGTTACTTTGTGGTTACAAGGTCTGTCACATCGACCGATCCCATGTCTAAAGTTAAAGTTGACACGATAGTATTGAATAACAGATGTTTTCTAACTAATTAGTATGTGATCTCCACCATTCGCCAGTTTCACATACGTAATAGACATCATTCACTCTTTTACAGACAGTTTTCGAAATGTGACTACATTTTCTTCACCAGAAGGTGAGTGTTGTCGTTATATTGATCTTGATTAAAAATACTAAAAGATAATTTTGTTTTAGATACTTTTGACTCGTTGGGTATTTTGTAATTTTTTGTAACAAAATTAATTATTTCAAAAATGGTGTCTAGTATTTTGATTCAATCTAAAAATGGAAAGTAAATTGATGGTATTGTGAATCAAAACTTTTGACTCTTTCATTTTAATTTTCTATGTAGTTTCCATAATCTTTCTCAAGGAATTTGGGTACTTTAAAGACATTTATTTACTTTTCTCTTTTGTTAGTGTAACGTACTTGAAATTTAGTTCCGTTTGTTTTACCTATGTTTGATTATTCTTTTAAATGAAACTTACTGCCCATAAATAAGTAAAAAACGTATACATATTTCACTGCCAAACATTAAAGAATATAGCCAATTAAAATATTTAAACATTTTTCCACGAATTGTGGCATCAGTATATATATATATATATAAAACAAAACACTGGATTTCCATTCTAACTTCCAAAGCTTCAATTTCTATCATCAGTTTTTCCATTTCTAATTTTATTCTTACTTGCTTTTCTTCATTCGAGATACCTTCATTAATTTTTTCAAGAAATTTGAGAGGTGTTAATGTGGGATCCTCTTGAATTGCATTTTTCCATAACTTATTTAATTTTTCAGCTTTTAAACTTCTCCGAAATGCAATAATTTTCAGAAAAGCTATTATAGTACTGTTTAAATCACACAAAATACTTTCAATTTATTTTCATCTACTGTTTCTTGAAGTTTATATTTTCTTTCAGATAATTTCGTTTCTGTCCGAATCTCTTTCAGTAAAACCTTTAATATATGTTCCTGTTGATTTTAACCTTTAGTCATGCATGTCATTAATTATTGTTCTTGTCGCATCCATTTATCAAAAGTTCTACTTAGTTTCTTTAAGAAATCTTTAAACTATTTTTTTTTTTTCATTTTTGCAATTGAATCCTTAAAGTTAATTTCTTATTCGTCTTTTGGAGACATCCTTTCACGGGTGAATCTTACTCGTGGTTTGGATATATATAATATACCACTTCTTCTGAACTATGTATCAGATAATCATTACATTTTTTTATACTTTGTTTCTATGGAACTGGACAGTAAAAACTTGCAGCACCTCGCCAACGTCGCCCCCCAGCATGTCTTTAGACTGCCCAGCGGGATATGTTTGTCGTATTGAACATGTCGAGGATCCTCTTGCAGGAGTGCCAAACCTTGGAATTTGTGTACCAGTGGTAAATGGTGGTAAGACTCTTCTGTGTTAGGGCTAATCCCAATATTGTGACATTTATTTCTCTCTCTAAAAAAAAAGGTAAAAATTTCGTGAGATAATCTTGATGAGTTTCACGTTAATACTTGTAAAAATTAAATGTATTCGGAACATTAATTGTTTGAATTATATAAATTTATACGATCATATTCTAGTTACAAAGCTATATAGCAGTTTCCATATTTTACAGTTTTTACTAAATTGTGGTGGTTGCAGTAACCTAGATTTTTCTTATGCAAGACAGCGTAAAAATATGTTTTAAAGGAAAGCCGAATAACAATTTATTTTTCTGGTAAGGTTCTTAATTTAGCTTTCGCGAAGACGTGTTACACAACAAAAGTTTTTTAGCGCAGAATTATCAAATAGATTTGTCTCAATAACTTCACAAATCAAACTGAATAAAACGTAACCGTAATTTCTTCTTCTGTTGTATAGAAAAATTGGAATCTAAAGATAGCGGAGATACGTATCTTGAGAAATTTGGAAAAGAAACTGGTAAGTAAAATAATTACAATAAATTATAATGTCCTCTTATTGGTCAAATAAAATATAAACTGACGATATTCATTTAATTAATGATAAAGAGTTCAAATGCATAGTGGTATTACAGTTCTAGTTAAATCAAACTAATATATCATTACTAAATTATATCAGTCATTTTATAATATTATATTATAATTGCTTGCGAAATGTAACTTCGTTTTGTTATAACGATGAAACTTCGAATGAATTCTAGAATTTTCTGATCTTCGAGTTAGACATTATAATCAAAATGGTGTTTTTTTTTCTTCCTGTGGCGCATATTTATTCTAGCAAAATGGGAGAGAGCGTTTTAACACTATTATCTTATAACAAAAGAGTACTTGTAGAAGTAAAACTTGGCATGTAGTTGACAAAACTAGTTATTAGATTAACACATATTTTAAGAAAAATAAGAACAATTCACGAATATGGTGGGAAAATAAGAATTGTAAATTAGAAAATACTTATTTTTCCTTAAAAGTTTGAAATATATAAGGTGATCTAAGCAAGCCAAACATTTCATTTCTATTAACGTTGCGTACATGCTAATTATCCGTTATCGTTATCAAAAAAGTAACATACGAAAAGTCAGTCAGAAGTTCATGTTATAAAAATTCCTTAATATTTGCAACGGGTGGTTTGGTATGACAAGGTTGTTATAACGGTTGACTAGCAAACTGTGGGTCGCGCAATCGAAACTCGATGCCGAACATGACGCCCTATTAGTCGTGGGAACTCTATAATATAATGGTCAATCCCACCTATTCGTTGATAATGAGTAATCCAAGAGTTGGCGGTAGGTGCTGTCGGCTGATTGACTTCTATGTGACTGGCAGTTCAAAATTAGAGATGGCGACAGATAGTCTTAGTAGCTTTGCTATAAGCTTGTTTGTTTGTTTGAATTTATGCACAAAGCTACACAATGGGCTATCTGTGCTCTGCCCACCACGGGTATCGAACTCCGGTGTCTAGCGTTGTAAGTCCGCAGACATACCGCTGTGCCACTCGGGGTCTTGCCATAAGCAAACAAAAACTTTGCTTTTGAAAATGTTTGTATTTCATACATTGTATTAACAAACTGAAATAAAGAATTTTTCTATTTATTGTTAAAACAAGTTTTAAATGGTGAACATTGGTTCATTTTAGATAATGTGACTAGCTTCATCTCCCCGCGATTTTTATAACTTTTCTATAATTCTTCCCAAAATCCATTCGATTGTTAGAAAATAAAGTTTATTTTAAAGTTTGATTTAGGCAACTGAATATACGAAGGTGTATTAGATCTGTGTCAAGAGATTTTCTAGAAATATTTATAAATTGTGTATGACTGTAAACCTTATAGTTTCTTAGATCTGTTTGAAACACATGAGGATCGAACGAATCTTATGACTAGGTATTAGGTTTGTGTCCCGTTCTCAAAGATCGATTATTATCTATAAAATTGCCGAAAACTCTCTTCTAAAATATATTATGCAAAACTACACAAAAAGCTGTCTGCGCACCGCTGTCCCTAACTCTGTACTGTTAAACTAAAAGAAAGGAAACTAGTCAATAGGACCCATTGTCAACCATTGGGTTAGTAAAATCTATCTTACCATCATCCTTTTAGGGTACCCCAGACACAAAGTGCGTTTTTGCAGCAACGGATACGAACCATGAATTCTCATCTTCACAGTCCGAATATTCTAGACCACGTCTTGCCCTATGTTGAGTTTTGTCGTAAATACATGAACCATTACGGTTTATTTTATTTATGACAAATATAAGGAATGTTGTAGTAAGACGGCCACATTAAGTTTTAATGTGACTTTCACCAATTAAGATTAATGTCATGAAAAAGCAGAAAGTTTTAAAATGAGCCCTGTTGTATTATAAACGTAATTTCTAGTCACAACAAAGATGGGACTTTTTTAGATATTGAAAAAATGCGCTTCTTGTGACTGGGGGCCATTTTACCTATAGAGTTAGATAAAACGGACCCCAAGATGGGGTAAAATAGCTCCCATCTTACTATACGTCATATGCGTCATTGGCAGAGCAATCATGAGCCCTCCCCCCAGGTAACTGAGCCATCACGTAATAACTGATGATATACAGGGGGGACTGTCTTAACGAAAGGAACCGTCTTACATCACTTTCCACTACTGTTTTTACAACGTACATTGAATCAATAAATATTTAATGCTGTAGAGTGTTTCTCTTTTACTTAGCGTTTGCATTGTTATTTAGCCGAAAGAAGGTTTGACTTTTGATGGGTGTGGCTTAATTACAATAATATTCTTGAAAGTTTAGGAAACGATTTATTTTTACAACGTACATTGAGTCAATAAATACATAATGCTGTAGAGTATTTCTCTTTTAACTTAGGTGTTTATATTGTTATTTAGCCAAGGGGAGGTTTGACGTTTAATGGGCGTGGCTTAATGACAATAATCTTCTTGAAAGTTTAGGAAAGGATTTATAAAATATAAAATGCGAGGTAGGTTAGAGTAGATTATTGGTTATTTTTTAATATTTTTTAAGCTACACCGTGTTGGGAGTAGTAAAATATTATTTGCATAAGTCAGTTAGTCTGTTGCTGCCAGCTAGTTAGCTCAGTGCTGTAAGTTTTAAATGTATGTTTTAAACGAAGAAATAGCAAATAAGTGGAATTTCTGTTTAGGAATTGCTTATTTGGGAAGTTAAGCACTCTTCTTTTAACCGATAATTAAAAGATACATCCCAAAAAAGAAATTGTTAAAACAGTAAGTTTTTTTAACAAACTATTAATATTAAAAGTAGATTACGAAAACACTAAATGTAATGTCCATCACCATGCCATACACAAACACACACACACACCAAATAATATGTATTTCCAAGGTTGGCACCCTGTCTTGAACAAGCTACATTTACTGTTCAAATATTTTAGCATGTTCATTTTCTGTAAGGGTAAAAGTTGAAATGCAATTAATACCAGACTTTCTATATATATTTTTTTAATGTTAGCCATAAGTAAAATAAATTGTTTTATGCTGATATCCCAACAAAAATCTAATAACCTAATTATTAAAAATCTAATAACCTTGGCTAGTTAAAATATTTTACCTATAACTAAACCCATAAAATATATATCGATTGTATATTTAATATTAAAGTAATAGAATCTGTTGAAACAGCTCGGGAAAAACTTTTGGCAGAAAGAAATATTTCATTAAGTTTCAAAGGTTATTTTATTATTATTTATTTATGTAAATAATCAACATACTTTTCACTAAGCTGAATACATATATATACTTCAGAAAATTTGAAGGATGTTACCACTATTATTTTATTTTGAAATATGCGTATTTCCATTTTAGTTTTTCTACCAGGAGGATGTGCTTTATCTAAAGAAAAATATGATCAACTGCAAGAATTCCAAAAACGACCGTACATAGTTGGTTGGTTAGTTCTGTCACATTTCAATGTTTTTGTTATACAAGGAAGATTTACAGTAATATGTTACGAAAAATACTTTCCTGAAACTCTTTAATGAACCAGTTGTTTTCCTTAAAACTTTTCATGTGTGTGAAAATAGTTTTTTCTGGTAATAAAAATTCGAAATTTCGTTTTCAGCATCTGTACTGGAGGTGTTGTGGAATGTAACATCTCGCGGAATGGCTCAGGTAGGTATAAGATTTACAGCATTGGATGTTGGAATAATAACAGATTCTTTCATAATTCATACCGAAAAGTGAACGTACCAGTTCAATACATAATTCTGTCATGAAGTTGAAGCGTTATAATCAGTTAACTAAGAAATATTTCTTACTTGTTACAGCTAGTTATAACATTGTTTTAGTACAATTCAAAGCCTTATCAAATAGCTATTTAACTCCCACTGATACCATAACAGCTTCCAAAAAGAGACGGCACAGTGGTCTGTCTGCGGATTTACAACGCTAGAAATCGGGTTTCGATACCCGTGGTGGGCAGAGCATAGACATCCCATTGTGTAGCTTTGTGCTAAACTTGAAAACAAACATGCTAAATGAACATCAAAACACATGCTAGTAACATAAATTATAGGATTTCAACTGACGCTTGAAACTACAGCGGTGTTTAGAAAAAAAATGATGTATTATGTTGTCAAAATATGCATTAAGAATAGGGGTTTAATCAGCATTTCAATCTACCACGGTGCTCAGACAGAAAATTAAATTATGTATTATGCTATTTAAGTACTAAAATAAACAATTAGGATAAAATCTCTAAAGCGATTTTTAGATAATTGTAAATGGCTTACAAAATGAGTTGTTTGTTATAGCTACTTGCATCATTCTGTTTCAAATGACGTTTATACGTAGTACACTAGTTTATTAAGTGAGTTAAGGAGCTACTTTTATTTTAATCTGTGTAAAAGAAACGAGCTTTCAGAAACGATGTAATAAGTGTTTATTACACCATTTTTTTAAATCTGACAACAGAATAATTAGCCTACAACGCTACACTTTTGAAAGACGTGCATTAAATAAACCAGAAATGTAGATACATCACTTTTTTAAGAGTTGTCGTATTTAACTGTAATGATGTCATCAAGATGAGACTAAATACGTGTCACATCAGAGTTAAAAATTGTAATAAAGTCTCAAATGATATAACAAGTAGAATGTATCATTAATACACATTATTTTGCCGTTAGATATCACTTCTAACAACATTCTGTGTTATTGTCTGGAAGTAGATGTTATTTCTGAATTTTTTAACATGGAATTATGGAATATCAAATCAAGATCATTTAGTTAATAGTTCATGTTGAAATGGAACAAGTTTCATCAACATTTATTCTTAGGTTGTTCAAGTCTTCTTGCCTAAGTGTAAAATGTGTCATCAAGACATTTATCTGGAGCTAGATGTTTAACTAACTCTCGAATGTGTCATTAAAACACGTTTATTAAAATTATCAATGTATTAGATTTTCAAGTATCTCTATGTGATACAGTATCAGCTACGCCAACATAATGTGTGTCAACTGCAAACTATGGACAAATATACGAAACTGTTCAGCAAGACATTGGGTTAAGTCTGATTTTGAGTGAATAAATGTATGAAAAGGCTCAATAAGTTATGACTAGTTTAAACTGTAACCCAGCTGTCTGAGAAATGCTTACTCCGAAACAAGCACAAACGTAAGTGTGTATGTACTGCAGTTAATCGTTTTTTTTAAACATACATATAAAAGTAACAATTTTCGTTTGTATTACTGTCAGCCTTTCAAAGTTTATTAGGAACAAATGATATTTTTATATTAAGATGAAATTATTATCATCTCTGTATTGCAGATCTACACCTGAAAACTCGTACGAAGAATGTATTTCACAATGTTCTGAAGACTAGAAAAAGGACAAAGGAGTAAAACAACGAAAGATGGAGAAGTGATAAAATTCAAGTTGTCATTGTGAGTTTGGGTGGTGATTTTCGCCTTTTATGTAGTTTCAACTTTGTTTGTTTTTCAAAATATTTTAATTATTTGATTACATTTCAGAATAAGTAGACTTTTTTAAAACCCAGATTACATAAGTTATAGGAACTTAACTAAATAAATGATTATGCGTTTAGTTATAGTTTTAAGTAGATAAGTGAAAAAAAAAATGTTTTGATACGTTGTGTTAACTTTAGTCCTAATGTAATTACACTAAAGTAGTTTAAATGATCGTGTTTGTAGGTAGTAGCTTTTCCTGAGTCACTACTTCAAGAACACATAAACGAATAATACTATTTTAGAGCTGGCATGACCTGCATGCACGTGAATAAATTATAGTTGCATTAGATTGTCCCTGGGGAAAGTGTTACGTCAAAATGTATTTTATACGTCACTTGCTCGAGGTTTTGTTTTGAATATGTTCTTTAGAGTTGGTAATATGTATAAGTTATGTGAGTCTGCATCAGAGATTTACGTTATTCTAGAAAAATACGAGAAGAGAAGATCACCCAGTGTAAATATTTTCTTTTTAAACTTCTTCCTGTGTATAAACTTTTAACTGTTGCTTTTAATGCGTATTATAATACAGTTAAGAAAACGTTAGGGTTAGTGGAAGTAATACTAACACTTGGTTACAGTGTTGTTGTCGATGTAGAATTTCGTAGAAATGAGCTCCAATGTACAGGTTTTCTAGATTCATTAGAACATACAACTTCTATTAAAGTTGAAGTTTCTATCAGCAAGAAATATGACGAAAGAATAAAAAAAAACATGTTGTGTTTAGCAGCTGTCGAACAACGTAGTCTAGTTCCACAAAATATCTTACATGATAATGGAGTTGAATAAAGTTTAGATTTTAAATCTCCCTCTTTTTTTTTTTCGTCTTAACAACACATTTCTTTGTTTCCCAATCGTCATGTGTTCGATTACAACTGTATGTAAATGTACACGTGATTTGGTAATTAATTGTTAACTAGTAATGGTTTGGTTTCATGAACTGTATTTAGGCTGTAGCACAGTAGGTGTTAGAGAACAGGAGTATGTCGAAATCATGTGCCAGATAAAGCCTAGCAAAACATCTGGACTGAAGTCTGTTAACTTTTAGTGATTCATTCAAAGTATTTGCTATGTTCTTCTAGTGGAAGAACATGATTGCTGAAGTTGAATCGTTCTCTAATATGGAAATAAACCCAAGATCAGTGTATTGTCATAAGAATAGTTTCAAGTTGAATCTTTTATGTTTAGAAAACTACTTAACGTTACATAATCAATCATTTTTAAGTTATAACTTTACTAAAGAAACAAAGCAGACACGTGGAAACTTTCCACGAGATTTTTTACTAATACTAATGTTTTATTTAAACCTACATAAAGGACTTGTCTGAATCACATGGATGTGTTTGAAACTTTTGTGCTAATATTTATGTTTCTTTATAAAATTGTGTAGAGATTTTGCTTGGTTGCAACAATGATACAACTATAAAAACAAGCAGCTTTTTCTTTTTTATAAATAAAAGTTTGAATCAGTTTTAATCCATTAAGTTAAACTGGCTGAATAGTCACGTTTAAAAAAATGCAGTAAATCCGAAATGCTAATAAAGGAGGATTTATAATAATTGAATTTTTTTATTTCATCTTTACCTTCGTGCATTTATAATTCCAGATCAGTCCATGCACAGATGTGCTTTGGTAGTATGAACAGATCTCCACTGCTCTGTATAATTTTGCTAAAATTTGTTCAACAAAAGTTTTATTTTTTAACAGAAAATAAACTCAGTTACTGAAATGATTATTTCTTAAATACAGCTCAATAATGATTTATATGACTCATTAAATCTACATATATTTAATTATTTAATGGCATATTTATGTTAAATTACTCAAACGTTTTTGTGATTAACTTATTTATTAAGGTGGCATGTGATGTTACCCCTACATATTTCTACAATGTGACTTATCCTTCATAGCACGAAGTGTTCAGTAACTTCTGTCTGACTATCTCTGTACATTTACTGTGCGTAACTGGTAAAAACGAGATTCCTAAACGACTGCGATTAATTAAAATATTAAATTGTGTAAATTTTAAAACGCGCCACAAGGTGTTAAAAGATCAAAATCAGTATGTGAAAATAGTTGTTTTTTTTTCGATCTTTTTTTCTTTTTGATGTCTTTCAAAGATTAAAACTGAGGTTGACTTCACAGGTCATGGTCACAATGGAGCTAGCATAAAGTAAAATGTAAAAGTGGGTGGTAAATTTCCAAATCGTTTTTTCTTTAGTTCACGTAACACTTTGAGTTGCAGTTGAAACGTTTCATGTTAAGAATTGTTTAGGATTATGTACATATTTTATTGTGATGTTCAATTGCTAAAAACCAAACAAAGAATAATTGATCCCATGGTTATAAATAGGTTTAATATTCAGTTAAAAACATAATTCTGTGATCTATGTTTGCATAATTTATTGGGTGTGAAACTCTATATTTAGGAATATGATGTGTATAAGAAAAGATTGATCAAAATTTCTTGATGTTGAAATTGTCAGATATAACTCCATATTTTGTGTTAAACATACAAGTACTTGTGAAAGTTTCTGTGTGTATATGGGTTAATTAAACGTTTTAAAGGTTTTTACACGTGTGTCTCTTTTTTATTTTTCTTAACATATATTAAAAACTGCTTGAGTAAAATTTGCATATTGATATTATATAATGTTATTGAAATAGACATTATATATCTCCTCGAATTGCATTTGATAAAATATTTTTAAAATTACATAAATCAGCAACTTAAAAAACAAGTAGTCACAATATCACTTAATAGTCACATTATTTTGCTCAACATTATTTTAATTAAAGTTAGAGCCAAAACTGAAGAATCTTATATTGAAATTTATAAATTATTTAGAACTAATTTTATGAAAAATTGACGTAATTTGTAAAGTAACTCGATAACCTTTTCTTTGTTAAAAAGTAGTTTTCAAATAACAAGGTCGTAAATCACAACCATAAGAATATTTATGGAGATTATAAAGTTGTACATCCGTCTGTCTGTCTGGTGTCATAAGTTGTTGTGAGGAATTGGCTGAACCAATTTCGATTAAATCTGGTTGAGAAACTCAGGTGGGCCATCGAAGATCGAGTTTAAGTGGATAAACAATTAAATGAAAGATTAATGTTTGATAGCCATTTAAATTTTATTACCTTAATGTCGCGAATGAGTACTTAACTGAGCGAAGAAGACGAAAGCAAAATCCCCCCTCAGTGGTTCAGAGATAAGTCACGGTGCTAAAACTGGAGCCCATTGTGTAGCTTTGTGTTTAATAACAAAACAAACAAACAACTGAAATAAAATTAAAAAGTCCATGTGAATCTAAAATATTAATTTTACTTTAGAGATTTATAAAACTTTGCTCAGTGTTATTTCTTTCTTTTTTTTTACAAATATTTCAAATACTTTCTCATATATTAACGTGTATTTCACTTCAGGAATATACTAAGAACATGCTGCCAAGTTCATGTGCCATGTTAATACATATTAAAAACACAATTATTTTAACTAAACTAAATGTTCAGGGAATATGGACTTTTCTCTTCGAAACTTTTCCCCTGTAGGACAAAGGTAAGTTTGCGGATTTAGAACGCTAAAATCCGGGATTCGATTTCTCGCGGTGTACACACCAGATAACCTAACGTGGCTTCGCTTTAAAACAAACAAACAAATTCTTCCAAGATAGATGGAGCAAAACATTTTAAAGATTCAAAAACATTAACTATGATTTCCACGAAAATTATGTTCAATAAGAACGAAAGAGCCGTAAAAACAAAACTTGTCTGCATTAACAAGTCTTCGAAAAAAATATTGATACAGATGAATTTATCATTACGCATATTTTAAAAGAAAATTGAAAGAACTAAGTTGCGAAGTCGAGAATGATTTCTGAATATTTCTAAATTAAAATATACCTATAAAACAACGGAAATGAAAACCAGTAAGTAATAAAAAATTATAATACTCGATTATATGGACAAGCTACAATCCACAAGGGTTATTACTGTTTTATTACTGCGAAGCTACACAATGGGCTATCTGCATTCTGTCCACCGCGGGAAATCGAACCCTGGATCCACAAGGGTAATGAATTTATTATATTGAAAAAGCCCTTATTAAAAACAGAATAAAATAATTAAAATAAACTTTTTATTCGGTATAAAACAAAATGAATGCAAAAAAATACACGTAATCTATAGCACGTGTCTCTTTTAGGTCAATTGTACTTACACCATGTGCAAATAAATAATTAAGTAAGCTGTATCTATAATGAAGATAGATAACAAGGTACACACACATATAATATATATATATTGTGTTTAAACTCGAGACCAATAAAAAACACGCAATACTTAATAAAAGTTGCTCTCGTACTGATGTTATTTAAAGATTTATAATATATTACTACCTAGCGCGGAAGATATCCTGGTGTAGAAAAATAAAATAAAATATTGCCATCCGATTCTGTTTAACAACAAAAAAAAAGAACAGTTGTTGACAGGTTTTATGAAGAGTGTAATTGATCTAAGTAATACTTTACCACAATTGTTTTCCTGCATAGCGTGTTTATCTGTACAGTTGAATAGTTCAAAGCGATGACAGAGGTGCACACACGGTGTTACAGAGTTGACTAAATTATTTCTTCGAACTTTCATTACATAGTTTTAACTACTTGTTTTTAACATTACAACGTATTATTAGATTTTTTTTATCTCGACTATAAAGTTCCCAGATTGAGGTTCTGTAAATTTTGTTGTTGTTTTATATATATATATATATATTAACATAAAGCTGTGCATTAGCCTATCTGCACCATTTTCATCTCGATAATCAAACCCTCGAAGTCTAATTTTATAGGTCCTTAAGTTTACTGCTGAGCCGCCGAAGGACACGAATTTTATAAAATTAACTCGATCTGTTTATTTTCCCACATGCCTTTTAGACGGCTTTTTCCTGCTTTCAATCAAAAAGTTACATTCACCTTTACCCTTCTGTTGCTAGTGTAACGGAATGCAGATCCGAGGATCTATGACTCGTGTCCCGTTGTTGCAAAACAATCGCGCTCCGCATTTGCGAACTTGGGTGAGTTATAAGAGTGACGGTCAAATCTCACTATTCACTTATAGTAGCTCAAGAAGGCGATTAGTGGCATTGACTAGCTGTCTTCCCTCTATTTTATCAGTTTAAAATTACGGACGGCTAGCACAGTTAGCTAGATCTACTATAACTTTGAGCGAATATCCGAACAAGCCAAAACTCAGTCACCTTATGAGAACCCTTTCTAAAAAACGGGGCAAATTCAAACCTTATTATTTCTTTTTAGTAAAGGGTGAATTTTTTTCACATCCTATTTACTAAACAATATGTCCTCAAACTCTATGCGAATTCTTCTGCTAAAGACTGAATCTTTAAATAATTTACTCGCTAAACTAAGGTAACTGTATTCGTCCAAAGGTGACATTTAAATACTTATATTTCAATCCTTTTGTGTATAAGTTGTGGTCGTTAACAGAAGTAGATATTCTCTCTATCCTCTCCAGATATTCTCATAAATTGTCAAAAATGACATAATTTAAAACAGTGTATATGGCATGTCTATCACCTAAATTCTGTAAATTAATTAAAACAGTGAGTTGATTATATATATTAACCAGCCAGTAATATTTACTATCAACCCTTTCTAGCTTATGTGCCTTGTATAAAATTACTTACATATATACTTTTATAGTTCTCTCTAATTAGATCTGTATAGATAAGGAACTTAAATTCCAACTTGAAGTTCTGAAGAAAAAGAAACACAAGAAGAAGTTACATTTCTTGTTTTAAAAATGTATTTTGTATTTCAGTTGTCAGTGTTTTAAACATGCCTTTTTTCTCCCTTTTGAAATGAAAATTATTTCCCATTAAAGCGACATATTACTTATATTTTAATCTAATGCCGGGTAAGGCCTAGTTGTCAGCGTGTTGAGCTGCTTATCAGAAAGTCCAAGACACGATCCAAAAATGGTATGACATTGAAAATGTTTTATACTTTCACCTACTGATATACTATAACTGTTACAGTCAATCCAGAGTAGGCGGTGGGTGCTATTGACAAGCTGTCCTCCCTTCGGTCCTGACCTGGCCATTTAGCCCATGTGTCACACATAAAGTGCTTTTCAGGTTGAAAATATCAATACCAGAATTCAATTTAACAACGTAACAAATGCATAACAATAAATGTTATTAGTATACATAAAAGCATAAAAGACTTGCATATTGCAGATATTTTATCTTATTTGGCCTGATTATGCTTCTCACCTAAGGTCTATTAGCTGATGTAAATGATGTAATTCGAGATGCCTAGAATAAGCTTCAAAAATATTGCGTTTTTCCAGCTCTACTTTTTAAATTGCCAAAGTATAATGAAACCTGTCTTTTATCAATTCAAAATATAGTATGAAATGCATATCTTGGATGAGCGATTGTTCTATTCAGCGCTCCTGGTGGCCAATCTCTACAAATATAGACACTCATGGAGATACGTGCAGTTAGGAAAGGATATAATGCAATATGACAAATTCAAATAAAAATCCTTAGTGTAGTATTTGCTAGTTCTAATTAGCAAATATTAATATGTTTAACTGAAAATCCCAATATCAGAATACTTTAAAATCATTGGAAAGACCGCAAAACTGTAATTTTAAAATATGTTTTCAAACAATTTCGGTTATTATTCATTTTTATCGATACTTAATCTGCATCAAAGTCCAAATTCAAAAATCTTATTATAAACATTCATTCAAAATCATGTGGTAGCTCACTAAACCGATATCAGAGTACACACTACTAAAAATAATGATGTATCGAATAGGGCCAATAAAGTTTAGATAAAATAAAATATTATGTAGTATAACGCAATTATTTGACTTGTGGACCAAAGAAGACTAAGAATAATAAAAACGTAATGGCGTGTTATTTTAGGTGGATAATCTTTAGAAAAGCTCCCTGTGCATACTAAATAAATCGGTTTCCTATTGTTACCACCTGCATAAAATAATTCTTCTCCTATTGTTGAATTAGAACAATGATGCCTTGACAGATTATCAGCTGGATTCGAAAAAAACTTTGAGAAACAATGTTCAACATAATGCAATCGAAATTCCGAATCATTGGACTTTATATGGTTTATTACAGTTTACCTATAGTGAAAACAAACTATTTAAACGTTTCTCTGTTCGTTTGATAAGTAGTGAGACCTAAAGGGCAGTGAATTTTGAATTTTTGAAGGAAAATTCCTTGGAAGTTCTTGCTTAGAAAATAATAATAATTGACTTTTGTTTCAGACTTATCTTTTTCTATCGGTATACAAAAGTAAACAGAAGATATGTGTTGTAGTTAAAACAATTGGTACAAAAATTATTATTCTTTCTTTTAAAAAAATTATACATACCAGATACCAAAAGAAAAAAAATTCATAACCAAAAATGGCTATTAGTTACTTTGTCTTTATGTAGAAGTGAATTCATTTATTGTTTGGTGAAGTTTAAACGAACTTCATTAAATGTTTAGCACTCATATTGGTTTTCCAATAAAACAAAAATTACAATCAAGCTTAAAATAAAATGATTGGTGTCTTTTAATTTGTCATTTAATGAAATATGACGACTTCGTGTTTTTTCTTTCACAAACTACGTTTATTTTCATCTTTCTCTCACTTTCCAATCATTTAGTGAGAATTGATATTTGAAAAAGTCCAAATTTAAATTGGATATAAGAAAATAAATTAAATTTTGAATTCAATGAAAAAGTTTAACTTACAAATTTTCATTTCCTTACACTTCGCTCAAAAACTTTGTCTGCATTGTTTGTATTTATTGATCTTACTGTTTAGTGATTTGACAACATAATTTCTGTGGATGTCATCTAATGATCTAATAAAATTGTCTCTTTAATTCCGTCTACTGATCTGACAACACTGTCTTTGCTGATTCCAACTAATGATCTAACAACATTATCTCCGTTGATGCCGTCTAGCGATCTGATAACATTGTCTCCGTTGATGCCGTTTAGTGATCTGACAACATTATCTCCGTTGATGCCGTCTAGCGATCTGATAACATTGTCTCCGTTGATTCCATCCAATGATCTAACAACATTATCTATGTTGATACTGTCTAGCGATCTGATAACAAATCAACGGAGACAACCATCCAATGATCTAACAACATTATCTCCGTTGAGGTTATCTAATGATCTGATAACATTGTCTCCGTTGGTTCCATCCAATGATCTAACAACATTATCTCCGTTGATACTGTCTAGTGATCTGATAAAATTGTCTTCGTTGATTCCATCCAATGATCTAACAACATTATCTCCGTTGATGTTATCTAATGATCTGATAACATTGTCTCCGTTGATGCCGTCTAGTGATCTGACAACATTGTCTGCATTGATTCCATCTAAAGATCTAACAACATTATCTCCATTGATGCTATCTAGTGATCTTGCAGCATTGTCTCTGTTGAATCCATCTAATGATGTAAAAATATTGTCCCCGTTGATGCTATCTAATGATCGAACGACATTTTCTCCGTTGATGTCATCCAATGACCTGACAGCATTGTCTTCCCTAATGTTATCCAGTAATCTGATGACGTTGTTACTACTTGTCCCATCTGAAGATCTAAAAACATTGTCTTTTTTCAGAAGATCAAAGGATCTGGCGTTATTGCTTCCACTGATCTTGTTCAATAACCAAGCTAAACTCTTTCCATCAATATTGTCTAGTGACCTGACAAGACTCTCTGCAGGAAGATGTAATTGTTTTGTCCAGTATAGTAACGGTGTCTGAAGCCCAAAGAAACCAAAGACAAAAATCAGCTTGTTTAAGTCATACGCTAACATTCTAATACAATATAACCTATAATTTCATACAAGATTACTTAAATGAATTTATTGATTAGATAGTGCTTATAAAAAACAATAATAAAAATACTTTATAGTATTTTTGTTCGTTCTCAGTATAGGAATTAATAAATTTAAAACATGTTATTTAAAAAGAACATATATTGAAGTATTTTTATAATTATGACATTTCGCAATTTGTTTTACAATTATGTAGTTAAATGAAAAAAAAACTGTGATAATTTCTATATAGCAATAAACTCTCGTAACAGTTTTCTGAAACAATTTTCCATTAACTAACAGATATTTCGTGTTCTTTATCAACAGCTTCTAAAACTTGCTTGGAACGATAGATACAGGAACACAACACAAATGTGATTTTAAAGTAATTTCAAACATAAGCACATATAGGCAAAAATATATTTTCAGACGAATATTTCAAATGTATACGGGGGATTATTCACAGCAACTTAAAATATGACTGACAAAAATAACTGTTACCACTTTTACAAAGAAAAAATATTAACATAATTTGGCAGTAAATTTCCAATAACAGTTGTAATTCCTCTCAAGTTTTACATAATAGAAAGTTTGATGTGAACAATGACGTTTCGGTCTACTGATGTATAATTTGAAAGATAGTGTAATATGATGTAAGGCATTTCATGAATATCTTTAAAAAATGCACAAAATGTAATGACAATGATTGATCAAAACAGTTTAAGTTCTTCTTTTTATTATAAAGCTGTGCCCACGTTATGGGTGCTTTGTGTTCCAAAGACAAACCGCGTTTTTTTCCACCCCTAATTCGGCTCTAATTCAAGCCCTCAGCCACTGGATAGTTCAGTGTAGAATTTCAATACTGGATCGTCAAACACGATCAAATAGCTAGATCAACTATAGAATTGTATTTTTAGGTTAATATCTGACATGCGTATCGTATTTTCTGTAATTGTGTTTTATGTTTAGGGCAAAGATACTTGAGCTATTTGTTGTTGCCCCAAATTGTGAACTACTATCCAGAGGAAAGTCAGCTAGTCAGCAGCACCAAACCAATCACGCTAAGAGATTGACTGTCACTTTTATAATGCACCCATAGCTTAAAGCGCTGAGATTATTTTGTGATATTTCACTGAATCGAACCAGGTTCATCAGTTCTAAAATCCAGAGCTCCACCACAAGATCAAACTTGAGCCCTAAAACGTTCTGCTAAAAGGTGAATTTCTTGTGTTAAATATCTAATCATAACGCCTATAACAATCTTTACACTAAAAATGTTATATCTAAGATTGAACTAAAACAGGTGCATCATAACACACGTACATTTTGTTTTGTATTCTTACAAAGGACTTTATATTGTTCATATTCTAGGTAAACGTTGTATTTTCTGTATTTGGCCATAAACGTGTGTCAAATATAAGTATTGTTCCTTGTCCAGATTACTACATAACCAACCGTTCATTTTATATACCACAAATAACAACCATGAAAACCTGCCTCTACCTAAATGGTGTTTGTAAATACAGCATATTATCAACTCTCCCTATGTAGCTACATATCTAAATTAGTTTCTCCGAAAGGGGACCAAAGGCTACCTAGAGGGCTCACCTATTGTAACCACTCGCGCCACCACACAGTAGTGTGCTGTCTGTCAGTCAGTCAGTAGACACTAAAATGACATCACATAAGGGACGCTTAATGACTTGTTAAGTTACGCCATATTTTATACTTGTTAATTAACTTGTGCCCATCCAAAGGTACTAAGTCACCTTGAAGGAATTGATGGGGAATATTGAAGTGACGAGAATATTTCGGGTATTTCTTGCCCTGTTTGGGAGACTCAAGTGAAGACGGGCACGGCGGTGACTTGTAACGGAAACCGACGTGGTTGAACCACACCGTACACAGATTATATGTGCACTCGTCAGCATCCTGGAGATTTCTGCGCCAGTAGCGACTAGTACGTTCACGTTCATAAAAGGGCACAAAGGTGGTAAGAAATAGAAACACGAGATCTCTTTGAGGTCAGCAATACTCTTCCTACCAAGACGTTCCAGTGCCAAGCAATCCCCCACAGGATTTAGAGGGAGTTTCTTATTTATATAGATTGTAAATACTCGTATATCCTTCTTGACTGATAGATGTAGCTTAAAGTAAATTTAATATTTTTGTATATATTCGTTTGAATATTATGATATTATAGATAAATAAGTTCTAATAAAATATTTCCCTATCATTCTTTTTATACGTATTACTAACACTTTTAATTTCAACGCTTGATAACTTGAATTTTGCTTGTTTCTTAATATAATGTGCCTCCTAGTGGCACAGCGGTATGTCTGCGGACTTACAATACTAGAAACCGAGTGGGCAGAGCTCAGATCGTCCGTTGCGTTGCTTTGTGCTTAACTTTAAAACAAACAAGCAAATTTCTGCTTTGTTTGGTTTTTGTTTGTTTGGTGCTCTTCCTACCAAGGGTATCAAAATCTGATTTTTAGTGTTACAAGCACTCAGACTCACCGTTGAGCAACCTTGTGCACAACTTCTACTTAATTGAGATGTAGTTTAAATAATTAACCACTAAAAATTCGACTGAGAAATCGAAAAATATTTGCAGCTCACTGTGACGTAAATGTCGTTCAGAGAACTTTTTAACATATTGTTGTTATTTGTTACTTAAAACAGAATACATCTGTATGGTAAATAGTAGTGAGCATGAAGAACAGATTGTACTAGGAAGGTACGTTATAAAATATTAGATATACTTCCGCAGGGTCTCCAAAAGTGTTATTTTTCAGGAGTAAATAAAACCAAAATTAAGAGTAACAAAAATTCTTAGTTCTTGCTTTTGAAGTTCATATTGCCATGCTGTGTTGTAGCCTACAGACTGCATAATTTTTCCCGTGATTCATGGCATGCGCACGTTTTACTGACGTCACGACAGTACAAATTGCAACGGGTTTACAAGAACATTATTTGTTGTTTTGCAACGTTGCTGCATGTTCAGATCGGGAGTCTGATAATTTATTAGACTTCAGCTCATGCTTTTGTAACCTTCTTTAAATTTTAACTCACGCTTTTGTAACTTTCTTTATATTTCAACTCATGTTTTTTCAACCTTCGTTATATTTTAACTCACGTTTTTCTAACCTTCTTTATATTTCAACCCTTGCTTTTCTAACTTTTTTTATATTTCAACCCACGTTTTTGTAACATTCTATATATTTCAATCCACGTTTTTCTAGCCTTCTTTATATTTCAACCCACGCTTTTGTAAATTTTTTCTACCATGAATATAGTTGTAAAAAATTGCGAGCCAATTATACAGTTGTTATAGCAATGATTTAGCGTAACATAAAACACATAAATTTTGTTGTAATTTGATAATTTTTTGTTCGTCAGCTTATATGAAATTTTATATAAGATTAACTGTGTATAATTTCAAGTGTTATTATCGTGAATAGCAGAAAAGCCAAGTTACATTTTGTATTCGTAGTGGTGTGAATGAGTTGGGTGAAAATATAAAAACTTGTTTGTTTACTTATGATACGATTTAATAATAATAATGGCAACTCTTGAGGTGCTCTTCATAGACCGAATAGTAGAATTACATCGCCACTCCTGCAGCGTACCCAAAGCACGGAGCGCCTTTTTTTTTTTCTTGCCATAATGGGATGCGATCGATGGGCCAGTTTGTCTAGGAAGAAGAAGAGACTTGCCATCGTTTCCAAATTAGGGACGGCCAGCACAGAAAGGATTCGTGTAGCTTTGCAATTAGCAACTGCAAGGGCTTTGTTCGGCTCCATGATCTGAATAATGGGATGGACTGTTAATTTTATAACACCCTCACGGCTGAAAATGCAGAGAGTATTCTGAGAAATCAAGTCTTGAACACTCTTTGGTCCTAAGCCCGATCCGCTAAACACTAGGACAAGCACGACACTGTTAGTTAGGAATACTTAACAAATCAAAATTGATTTTAGATACAAACAAGGCAAGATTTTTTAATATTGATTTAAAATATTAAGAATTACAAATTATAATAAGTTATATTTGTCATAAGACAACAGTGTTAGGCTTACATTATTTTTAAGCACTACATTCTTTATTCTACCAAATGGCTACTTTTGTTGTACACTAACCGGTTTGATGAGCTCTGGTATGGGGAGAAATGCGTTCGTCAGCAATGGATAATAATGGCTTAGTGTGGTTGAACTACCATAATACACTTTTTTTTTCTCGATAAAACTCATAAGAGGCTAAATAAAAAACGTAGTGTTTAAAAGTATAATAAACCTAATACTTTTATCTTATGACAAATGCAACTGATTATAATCCCGCTTTGTATCAAAAGGGAGTCTGTTTATTTGAAGTTAAGCACAAAGATGTACAATGGGCTATCTGTGCTCTGCCCACCCGGTTTCTAGCTTTGTAAGTCCATAGACATGCCGCTGTGCCACTGGCGTCGCCAAAAGGTGATCATACCATAACAACTGTTATTACACATTTTGCTCTCGATCAGATTATACAGAGAATTAAAACAAAGCGACCTGTATACATGTTTCGAAAATAATCCTGTTTTTAAATGTATAGTTTGTAGGCATTCTGTTTAGTGCGTGTGTAAATATGAGTGTAACACGTGGAATACATTTTCAAGTATTTTATTTCATGGGTACTAGAAACTACTTCGTAGTGGTAATTTTCAAAAGTCTACCTTTGCGTAAATACTATCATACACAAAAATTACTTACACCCACGTACACAAATGAATTTGTACATTCTCAAACGTGAACACTAGAAATAAGCGTCCTTATTCTATGTTTAGACTAAATATTATTACAAGGTATTAAAAAGAACAATATTTTAATTGCTCCAAATGGACAAATACATTTTGAGCTTAATTAATGATAATACTCATAAGAGTAAGAAGGAAAATAAAGCGAAAAAAGTATTATAATGCTTATCATTTTTAATAACTTGAAGTTAACAGTAGATGGAGAGTTAAGCTTAACACTCTCTTGAGACAAATTTATAGATATTTTAAAGTCTGTGTGATAATAAATTAAACACATATTATTCAAAATGAATACATCATTGTATTGTTTGCACTGGAAATACACATATCGTTTAGTGTCTTGCTTTGTTTGTTTTGAATTTCGCGTAAAGCTACACGAGAGCTATCTGCGCTAGCCGTCCCTAATTTAGCAGAGAGAAGGCAGCTAG